CTTCACCCCCTTCCACTTCCATGGGTTCGGCCTCCCATCGCACCTCTTCCTCTGGGGGCTCCTTCTCCACTACGGGCTCTGCCTCCATGATCAGACCCCGGTAGGGATCCTCCGCACCATTGTCTTTGTGATGCTATGCGAGGCTTTTCTAGGGATTGAACCCCACTTTGGTCTGTGGCAGTGCCTGTTCCGGGTGGTCCACCCTGCGCCCGGAGGCGTCCCTCTCGAGGGTAATTCCTTCATCCAGACTCCAAATTGGTTCCATATATGTTTTTTTTACCATCTCGACGAGTGGAATGCAATGTGAAGTCCATTCTACGTTTTGACAACTTCATAACATGGACATTTTTTGTTGTCAAATAGAGCCCGGAGTGGTGTGTTGGTGGCTCAGCGGCCGACAATGGTGCGGCGCCTAATGAAAGTAGAAGAGGGGACAACCCTCCTATTGCTAGAACACGGCCATGGCAATGGCATAGAGTCTGGCAGTTTTTGCTCCAGCAGGTGCGCCATGAGTTGGCAGTGGCGGAGAGCAAGGTCCAAGTGCAAGCTAGTGATGCCAGTGACATTGAAAAGAAAAAGAGTACTCAATAGAAAACAACCAAAACAGATGGTGATGGTACAACATGTAACCTGTGTAATTGCCATTGTTCAGTTGAATTATTTGCAATTTAGCCATCAGTAAAGTAATTTGCTATGTGCGGTTCTTCTTTGTGTTCCTAGAGTTTGCCCCAGCTAATTTTTTTCCGGCTCCGTCACTGCCTATTGGTACACATGCCGATTTGTAACAAGTCACGGCATGGATACTCACGAACGGATCCATGACACTAGATGGCACCTGGAGGGATTATTGTTGTCGGCTCTTGTTTCATATTAGTACGAGTACCTTATTCGTGTTGGTTCTAATTTTACGACTAGGACATGTGTTTTTATAGTATAGTGCATTGCTGGCTGCAGTTTTGCAAAAACAATTCTCAGTGAGGGTTCCAAGATGATGTGCATGCTTGGTGCTATACTTGTTCAAATACTAGGCCAGGCTGGGCTTCAAAAAGCCTAGTCTGAAAACTTTGAAGTCCGAGCTCTCTCGTATAAGATTGTTGATGGGCCAAGCCAAGCATGCATTTTTTTTAGCTGGGAAATGAGGTCTGATCCAGGCTAGGCAACTTCGGGCTAGGCCTGAACGAATTTTTTCAGGCCGGGCCTGGCCGGACTTATCGGACCGACGAGCTTCCAATTAGCAGGTCTGTGATTGGTGCCTTGTACCTTCAAGGAATTATCAATGTTTGCAGCTGGCGACAATATGGCAAGGAAGAAAGAGCATACAGTGGGGAGACATAAATAATACTCTCTCCGTTCTAAATTATAAGACGTTTTGGTATTTCTATATACATTAATTTTACTATGTATCTAGTATCTAAGTGTATAACAAAAAATTATGTATCTAGAAAAGTCAAAATATCTTATAATTTGAAAGGAAGGGAATACATTTTAATTGTGTACCCTTTATGCATGTAGGAATATTTGGAATCATAAGCATATATAGACGAAACCTAGCATAAAGCTTTTGTTACAAATCTCATTAGTCCCACATGAGCCTTTTGTTTACAAGTTGTGTTTCCTTTTGTTTTTTTGTGTAACAGCTTACTGGAGTTAATTTCCTTCCACGCTTCGTTCAAAAAAAATCCTTGCACGCTTTAGCTAGGTACTTTGTTTTCTTTGATGCAACAAGTACGCCGTCTTTTCAAAAAAAAGGATAACTCCTGATACTTAAGAAATCCTTTAATTGTGCAATAATATAATGGTACATCCACATTGTGACTTTTAATTTCCCATGCTTAAGAAATCCCCAATACTAATTGTGTGGATCGACCTTACCTACACCTATGAAAACAGCTTCATTTGGTGGTGGACCGCCAATGGCTAGTTCATCACCAAATTGAGATGTCACCCTACACCATGGGTCAGTATGGTTTTATGGAAGCATGGCCCTAAACTTATTCAAAAGACATGGGCTCTTCTCTTGGTGAAACCTTTCATATGGCTAACAAATCACTGATGACAATGGAAGGAAAACAAATTGTTGAACCATGGATTTATTACAAGTGCACCCAACCTTCAATAAACTACGTGATCAGGTCGAAGAAACCATCGACCACATCTTTGTCTGATGATGATTCAGCTGGCAATTCTAGTGGATAGTTCAGTTGTTCATGAGAATTAACTATGATTATTCAACGTTGGATACGGAGACACGTGATTGATGGGCACATATATATAAAGGCAATGCTATCCAGCAAAAAATCAGAAAAGAGTTTGACTCACTCTTCGTAGTCTGCTGGGCAAATTTGGAAAGAATACAATGTCCAACCGTTTCACAATGCAATAACACAACCACATCAAGTCGTGCCCACCATAGAGCAACAAGAAATAGAGCTCTAGATCTGGGCTGGTGTGATGCACCTTGTGATCTTTGCCATGACTAGTTACCATCAGCAACACATGCATGTTTCATGTTTATGGCATTCCAATGTTGAATTGGAAAGTTTTTTCCTTTTGGCTAAACTAGAGAGGTTGTAGAGTAAATTTCACTGGCCGTTTCTAAAATTGTCCCGTATTCTCAAATAGGTCCTGGTACTTATGATTTGCATATCTGGCACCTTAAACTGTTTTATTGTACAATCAGGTCCAAACCAGCTCTGCGTCCGCCTGAACGTTAATGTGGCGAGCCATTGTGGCCTGGGCGGGAGTTTTGGCATCCATTTGCATCACGTGAGGCATGCACGACCACATGGCAGTTGGAATATATGCCATGAACCCCCTGTTCTTTTCCTGTTTCCTCATTTGAGCTCCAAACCCAGTAGTCGAGGGGGCAAGCAGGTGGAGGGAGCGACGATGATGAGGAAGGCGACACGGGTAGGGATGTCAATGGGCCCCAAATTCCCTGCGGGGAATTCTCCTATTGGAGAACGGGGATGGGAGTAAATTTAGCCCACGGGGAGTTAAACCGGGATAAAAAACCCCTCCCCGTTGGGTTTAACTGGTCCGTGAATAGGTGAGCACTCCCCATACCTATTCCCTGCAGAACTCTGTTTAGATAAGATGAATCTGTCCATCCATATAATACCAGGGAACCCCATCCATCCATCATTCCCTCCAAACCCTGACAATATCTCTCCACCTGTAGCCATTCGCCCGACTCTCAACCGCGCGCCTCTCCATGTCTCACTCTTGCATCCAAGCGTCGCCGCCCACTAGGTCACTATTAGTTCCTCTGTCTGAGTCCCAAACTCCCGACCATGGACCGCTGCCCACTAGGTCGCTAGTCACAAGACTTCTGCTAGACCTTAATGTGTTTGTCGTGTTATGAACTAAGTTGTGGACAACTGTGTTGTAAACTTAAGTAATTTTTTATTAAATGTGATGTGAACCTATCATGAACCATATGAGGTCATTTTCTTGCAATTGATCTTGGATGAAGGTCACATAGCTATGTGTTATGTGGGTAGCACACTGGGACGACCGTACAAATTGAGGTCAGGTTGAGTGCGGTCAAGGGATGACAGCTTAGCCTAATCATTGGCTTGGACGGGAGTAGTCCTAACATCCATGGAGCACTAAAATGAGATGTTTTGGGGTGGCTTTTGGGTGATCGGGAATTTAGGATGATCATTTAGGGCATCGTTGGACAGTTGGAGTCCTATATTTCTTAACCAAGACCAAAGTCATGTTTGGGCTTTTTTTGGGGATATTGTTGATGATGCTCCAATAATGTTTGTATGGATGTTATACATCTACCACATAAAAGCATGATCAATATAATGGGCTCACAGGGCCATAGCAAGGAGAATATTGGACATATAGCCCCATCGCACCATCTCTCTACCCTTCTTGCTCCAACTCTTTCTCTTCACTTATATCTTAATGTGGCACACAGGTGCTAGTTTGCAATCTTTAATGGAACTAGCGAAGATTTTTATTTTCGATCCCTACAGTATCGTTCATCGATCCACAATTCAAGGGTATCATGTGCAATCTTATCCTATACTACAGGCAGCCAACAATTTTCTTTCTCTTCTCTCTCCCTCCTCGCTCCCTCCTCCCCCTCCCCCTTCCTCTAAGAGAATGGTGTCACAGGTGGTAGTGCTACAGGCAAGACGGATCATGGAAACTCTCCATGAATTCGTTGGTGCGCTGGTCCACGGTGGAGGAGGCCAAACCCACGACGAAAACACAAGCTAGGTTAGGGTTAGATGGTTTGTGGTTACAGTTTTGAAAGACCAACGAGCATAAAGGTGGTAGCAGCTTACCCGACGGTACCGATGGGTGATGGATGGCACGTCAAGCTAGCGGGGACACTAGCGGCTAAACGGCGGGGGCGACTTATGGGAGGGTCGGCGGAGGAACCGAGCAGTGGCTAGATTAGCGCATGGCAATGTGGAGGAACGGTGATGGTTAAGGCCGATGGCCGTGGAGAAGGCCATAAATGGAAAAAGCAATTCCTCATATATATTTTTTATTTTGGGGGCGTGCATAGGGCCGGCCTTAGCTGGTCCCATCTTTAGTCCCTAATCATTCTCCTCCTACACAGCATATCTGTTTGGGCACTCCCCGATCTTCTCCATCGCCCGGTTCTCGCCCACATAGACCAACAACGCAAGCGCTGCACCAAAAACCGCAGGCATCAGATGCTCCAATCTATGCTGCCCATATATAGGCCTCTTGAGAGGAAAAAGGGAAGTGCAAACAAAAAGCCTCAAAGGGGCAGACAGCCAAATGACCCACCACAGCACAGCGTAGCCCCTCCCCCTCCTCACTGACTCACCTGCAAAAACCACTTGCAAACCACACAAACCGAAAACGCCAGCTCCCCTGCCTCCATTTTTAGCAACTTTTCCCTTCAATCTCCCATCGCAGTCACCTCCTTGCCCCCACCCCACGCAGCCGTGCTTCTGCCGCCCTCCTCCTCCTCGACCCTTGGCTGGCGCCGCCGTTGGACGCCCGCCATGGAGAAGAGTCCCGGCGCGGCGCCGACATCATCTCCCGAGGAGGAGGTGGTGGCGGAGGGCCATGCGCATGCTGAGGATGTGACGGAGCAGGAGGAGGAGGCCACGCCGGTGGTGCTCAAGAAGGGGCTGTGGACGGCAGCGGAGGACGCCATGCTCATGGACCACGTCCGGCACCACGGCGAGGGGAACTGGAACGCAGTGCAGAGGATGACCGGCCTGCTTCGCTGCGGCAAGAGCTGCCGCCTGCGCTGGACCAACCACCTCCGCCCCAACCTCAAGAAGGGCTCCTTCTCCCCCGACGAAGAGCTCCTCATCGCCCAGCTCCACGCGCAGCTCGGCAACAAGTGGGCGCGCATGGCCGCGCATGTAAGCAAGCACTGTACTCTCTTCGGCTTGGATGAATAATTTATTTATGGCGACTTGTTGATGTGATGTGACTGATGCTTCGTGTTCGTTCCTGTGCTGGTTGGTGCGCGTCCGCAGCTGCCGGGGAGGACGGACAACGAGATCAAGAACTACTGGAACACGAGGACCAAGCGCCGCCAGCGCGCCGGCCTGCCCGTGTACCCGCCGGAGGTGCAGCTCCACCTCGCCCTCTCCAAGCGCTGCCGCTACGACGACTTCTCGCCGCTGGCGTCCCCGCAGCTGTCGGGGACGACCAATGTCCAGGCGCTGGGCGCCGCCGCGACGTCGGCCGGGTACGCCAGCTCCCGCCCGGCGCCGCTCGACGTGGCCCGCCAGCTCGCCGTGACGAACCAGCAGACGGTGCAGTTCCTCTCGCCGGCGCCCTTCTCGGCACCGTCGTCCCCGTGGGCGAAGCCGTTCGCCTGGAACGCGCAGTACTTCCAGCTCGCGCACTCGTCGCCCGTGTCCCCGTCCACGCCGACCGGGCCGATGCACCCGGCCACGCCGGACCTGTCCCTCGGCTACGGCGTGCGCGGCGTCGCCGAGCAGAGCAGGCTCCCGACGCTCTCGCCATCCCCTGGCCCCAGAGTGGAGCTCCCTTCAAACCAATACGGCCAGCCGACGCCGCCGACCTCGGCCACCGCCGCCGCAGCCGGACATGGAGGTGGTATCGCGCTGCCGGATCATCAGAACGCGGCGAGCCTCGAGAAGATGCTGCAGGAGCTGCATGACGTCATCAAGGTCGATCCGCCGGCGCTGGTCCCGGCCAACGGCGGCGGCGGCGCTGCCCTGGAGCGGCATGATGGCGGAGGTGAGTAGTGCATGCCGTGTGTGAAGCATTTCTCTCACATCTTCTTGCAATCTTTTTTGGATGCACTCGGAGTTCGATTTGTTGCTTTGCGGGGGAAGAGAACAAATACTCATGATTACGATGTGAATTGGCAGATTAGTGTGAACCTTTTCGTTTGTGCTTCCAAAATCTCCGTTTCTTTATCGCGGTGTCACCATCTGTTAATCAGAGTTCACTTACTTGGCAGTACTAATAGGAATAAATGTGCCTTGGTGAAAGTAATTCTGGTTAAGTATATTTTGTTGGGATTTGGACAAAATCTGAAACATGGACAGCACACTGTTTGGAATCTTTTTTTTTTTTTTGTCTTTCTTTTTGATAGTTTTAAGGTTAGAGAAGCTTCTGCAGGTACTGTCTATGGAGAGGGCTTTCTTTTTGTCCTTGCAAGACAGTGACTACCTTTGATCTTGTTCCATGATTACTTTACCTTATCCTGCCAAGTGCTTTAGCAACCTTTTTCCCCTTTTTTTCCCTCTGCATGTACCACTTTATCTATCATTTACCTAATCAGACGTAATATGATTCCAATTCATCCTTCCTTTTCGCAATTGTATGATTGCTCGTTAGCTTCCATAGCAACACGTCACATTGCTGTCATATTCTGCACAAGCTTAGCATAGTTTTTTTGAGCAAGAAAGCTTAGCATAATCAGGATGATCATATATAGCTATATTCCTTTTCCGGAGATTAACTAGAGAGGTTCTCATTCTTTTCTTTTTTTAAAAATAGAGAGGTCATCATGATCAGTGAAAAGAATAGAATCAAATCAGGACTAATAATTTATAAAAGCTACTGATTTTTTAATTTTTATGATGTGCGTGCTATCGTGCGAATATATATGAACTTTCATGGAACAAATTGAGCTTTCAGAATTTGTGCTGCACCGGCACCTGCCCAGCAATGTCACTTTGTTCCTGATTTTGCGTCATGCGTTTCTCTGTTGTTGGTTTCAGTCCCAGAGAACAGGTTCAGCGGCGTGCAGCACAGGGTTGAGGACAACATGGACACTCTGCTCGGCCTGGTGCACCCAGCACTCAGCGCGCCGGAGACGGTGCCGCCGGCTGCGGCCTCCAACCACTCCGGCTCGACCTCACAGCACAGCAGCGACGACCAGAACCCGTCCACCGTCGACCTTCACGTCGCCGGCGGCACCAGCTCGTCGGACCAGGACTGGGGCCTCGACGGCGTCTGCCAGTGGAGCAACATGTCCAGGATCTGCTGATCTCGTGCAAGAACTGCAGGGATCGGCGTAGCCATGTCGAATCGTCGATTAAGACGTCCATCCGATGATTCTGAGAACTGATCAAGGAGCCGGAGACAGAATGCCTTTTTTTGAACATTTCTTGCTGCTGTCAGATGCCAAGCATCATGGACAAATCTGTTTGTGTTCTGTTCACCGTTCTTGACGACTCTGTTGGTCAGTTACCGACTCAGATCTCAGCTGTGCAATCCAAGCGAATTTGCGTCAGCGTCTCTAGCATGTTCCTTTCCAGTTTCCCAGTTCAATTGACATCATCAATCAATGGTAGTAGATTTTATAGATAGATCCCGTCAACGTTTCCTCGATTTTCTGGGAGTTACATCATCCATCTATCACTACTCTTTCTCTCACAAGAGAGTACATAGTCCTCTTGCGTGTAGCCAGTATGGCTACTAAAAATGACATCACCCAAACATGATAGCATCCATTTGTGCTAAGTTGTGATCCATGTGCTCATGAGGACAAGAAGTCAGATTGGCACCCTGGAACTTTTGGAAATTGTGGCTAGTTGCCCCTCCAGCTAGAGCAATCTGAACCGAAGAAAGCCTATTATTCGATTTTTCGTGATATAGAGAAAAACGTCTGAAATACCAGCGTCCTAAACTTGACATCAAGTTTACCTTTTGTGAGCAGATCGAGTAGCTGGCAGGGTTTCAGCTGCCACCTCATAGTAGGACAATGCAAAGGCAATTGAAACAACCTAGGATCACATACAAGGAAATTGCTGGGGCCACACGTAGCCGTTGGAGTAGGACCAAACTTGAACTTATGGTCCTGAGTCCAGATAGGAGAATGGGAGCACTAATCATGATCCTTATCAACTTCAGACATTGCACATCCGTGCAGAGAAAGATTTTGCTTACTTTGCTGTTGTCTGATACTCTGATGCAATTATTATATGTGCTTACACTTTGTACAGATAACACATAGTCGCTAATAAATACCTTATACTAGATTGTCTGCAAAGCCAACAAAATCATGGTCTAATACTATTTTACAATTCGAAACACATCAACTTCATGTGCGCAGATTTAAATTGTTTAAAAAAAAACAGCTGGACAGATTCTAGAATTGCTAGAAGCAATTGCACTATACAAAATCATCGCAAATCGCGGGCAGTGGTCACAAATCCGTCGTGAAATCGACACCAACCATGCCAAAGGTGTTTCATTGTCTCCGGCCTCCCCACTGCGCAAATGGGTCGAGGAACAAGGAGCAGTTGGATTGCATGAGCAATTGAGCAGGTTCGTATCCATGCAAACTACGTGTTGCCCACTCTTTGCTCCTTGCTTTGTGCCATAAGTTGCTCCCCTGAGTGGGTTTCTCTTGTTGTGCTCCTCTATCCCCGGCATAATCTTGCTCTTCCCTACCTTTCTAATTACATTTGGGTAAAAGAAGCTTCTAACGGGTTTTTTTTCTCAGAGAGTGAAGAAAAAGATGGGCCACACCTTGGTTTATTTGTGACCTCTATCAATTTTTTATGTTTCAATATATTTATTACTCCCTCCGTCCTGTATGCATACAAAAAATTAGGACACCTTAAACGGATACTCAAATGATGACACATTATCCATGGATTAAACTCAATTAAAGAGTTTCTCCTCAAATTATGGTTTCTTTTTTAATAAACTTTGCCAAATATATGTATGAGCACCACATAAATTGCTTATATTTCAGAACAAAATTTAGAAGTTATAATGCACTATATTTCAGGACAAAGAAAGTATTCCTTTTTTGCGATTGGTGTTTTGCATATCCATTATTTGAATATGTTCCGTTCAAGAACAAAAAATGTTCCGGCATTCCAATTTTGTAAATGTCAAAGTGTCCCACCAATCAACTTTGCAAATGTTCTGCTAAAGAAAAAGTGTTCCTGTAAAGGATAAATATATTGCTAAAGAAAATAATATCCTATACAAGAGAATTTTTCTCGAAATAAAAATTGGTTTTATGTGGGATGAATCTTCCTCGGAGTGTAATTTTCTCATCAAGACTACAAATTCGACGCTCTATATATGCATTTTCGGTCATCTTAACCAGAGGAACACAATGGTGAAGACCGCGCCGACACTTATTCTCCCAATGAATGGGTCGGTTTCATCTGTGGGCTGGCGAGTAAACGAGTCATCTTGGACGTGTTAGTCAGACGCACCCATATGGGTCAGAGGGCCCCCCGAGAGGCCAGATAAGGATCCTGTGACCCTATAATGGCTGAATCCGGCAGGGGTGCGCGAGCGCACCTAGTGGATGTAGTACCCGAGCCCTTTATCCAAATGACCCAAGTCGAGCAAGGGCTTAGTATCTGGTAGGATGATACCTTGTTAGTGAGGTTACGCATGGTTCGGGTACACATCAATATTTATTTCAAAGAAGCTTGGTGCAGGTGAACTCCATATATCGGAGGGAATGTGTTGGAAAGGAAAAGGTCTTTGGAAGAACTATATGGTTTTCAAGCATGTTTATCGAGCTGGCACGTTGAATAAGTGTGGGACACTGATGTATTCCAATACAAATTGGAAGAATGCAAAGTGGCCATAAGGGAGGAATTGCCATAATAATGCCCAGACATTGGCAACAAAGTTGTGCCAAACATGAATGTCAGCGCATATGAAGAAGTAAGTAGGTAAAGATCATCAATCACCTTCCTAGTATCGATCCCTGACAAAAAGCCCATAAGGGTCAAACTTAGTAGAGACAAAGTATCATGTGTGAGAGCACCCATTGAGATCCTTGACAAGGTAGGGAGAAAAAACAACATTATTCAGAGCAAGAGGAAAACCAATGGGAGGGATCAATGAGGGTAGATTGATCCAGACGCCTAACAAAAGATTCAATAGGACGCAAATACTATTGTTGTTTGAGAATGGAGGTAAGCCAGTGAGGGGAGTTCTAGCGTGGAAGGCCTTCTAATTTTCACTGTCAGGCTAGGCCCCAAGGAAGTTAACCAAAGAGGGGCACATGGGCATATGACCAAGTTTGAACTAGGCCTATCCATGAACTAATGTTGCTGTTCCACTAGTTTGCGGTGGGAGGACATGGCCACAGCTTGGGAGAAGATCCACTGCCACCACTAGAGGATGGAGTGCTAACATTCAAGGGACAATCTTTCCCTTTTATTATTGCTTTTTGGCCAGACCGGTTTAGAGGGCCTATGCATCCCATGTCTTGGCATCCTATTCGTTGTGCATCTCCTCCGGAAGTAGGGAGGATCAAACCTCAAGGAAGGATGGCGATGCAAGATGGCAGGTGATGGAGGGGATGACACGGTAGAACTCAAGGCTCAACCCATGAAGCAAATTGATGACCTAGGTGGAATCCTTGACATGCTCACTAAGGTCACAGAGTTGATCTAGGAAGGATCGAACCTCAAGGAAGGATGGCGATGCAAGATGGCAGGTGATGGAGGGGATGACATGGCAGAACTCAAGGCTCAACCCATGAAGCAAACTAATGACCTAGGTGGAATCCTTGACAGGTTTGCCAAAGGTCACAGAGTTGATCTACTAGTGTCTTGAGCCAGTTGCGACAAAAGGGTATGGACATGTATAATAATATGCGTCCAAAATCTGCTTATATGGCCCAACTCAACACATGGAACAACCTGCATACGCATAACATCTCTCTTACACTTTCGTCCTCGTTTCGTGTAAAAGGGTTAACCTAGAGTTGCTATGTTTGGAACGACAAAGATTATAAGCTGGCCATCACCCTCCTAAACTACCAAGGTTGTACCAAACCCACCAACCACAACCACACATAGCACACGAGTCACATGGGCCAACTTCACAAATACTACTTGCTACTAATGGTTTGTCATGTTACAGGACATCTCACCTTGAGAGATGGTGTAGTACTACGCCTTGATCTAGATTGCCCGGGTGAGGACATTATCACGGTACATGCCCTCGATGGCGCTATAACACCTTGGTCATCATGTCACCGGGCTACTTCACAATCTCTTGTAGATTGGAGGAGATAGTGGTGTAGAACTCATTGACGATGTTGGTGTCATTCATGATCCACTTGGGATCTAGGTTGGCCGGGGGAGCAACCGTGGTAACATGATGATGGAGGTTGAACTTGGTGAAGATAGTCTCGAAGAAGTGTCACCACTGAAAAGTAGTTCGAGTTCACAAAAATCCAAAATGATGGGAACATGTGTACAGAACTACAGATGTCCACAATCTAGACGTAGGGACCACCGATGGAGGTAGGAGGCCGTCATCGGTGGTGCAAGGCAGAGCAACAGGATGCCCAACAAGGAGGGCACTACCATGAGCAAGAGAGGATTACGTGCGAGGAGGAAGCTAGGGTAGAGGGAGAAAATTGGATTGAAAACCATGGCTGTGGAAAGCGCAAGCGAGAATAAGATACATAGGGATTAATGAAGTGCTCCCGGTCATGCTCGACACCATGAACGAGTATGAGAGATGGAAGAGAGTTTGTACCATCACACAATACAAATGTATTAGCTGTTGTGGGTTAAATACAAGATTACAAAGCACAAGTGTGCTTCAACAACTTGCAAACTAACTTCCTAGTCAAAGGGATCTAGTTGAAGAATAGTTGACTATACAATGGTTACAAGTGAATCACAGGGTGACTAAGTATGCGTTAACATGGATAGTGCCAAATCTAGCTCTAGGGATCAGTGTTGATGACTATCCATGTCCAACAGAGGTCTAGTGGGTTGGCTCCACTAGGCGAGCACATGAGGTCCCCCGATCTAGGCTCATGAGGTGTCGGCGTCGTTCATGAGCTACATAGAGGCAAGCCTATGATAGCACCCTTAGTAATCCCACGATTGCTTACAGTGAAGGGGCCGTGGAAGTATGTTGAGAAGTCAAAATATGGACATACATCTCTCCTCTCATTTCTTAGGCCATGTTTGAATCCACCGAAAGCTAATATAGTTAACCGGCTAACAGTTCATAGCTTAACAAGCTAACATTTATGTGGCT